TATACATTCAATGATCAAGTCCAAGCTTTGTTACTTTCCTAACTTTGTTTCCCTTATGGAAAGTACTCACCCATTCTCTCTTTCCTCTCTATACAATGGGGATAATAATAGTCCTTACTTTGTGGGTGGCCATGATGATTAAATGGGATTGTATATGCAAAGTCCCAAGAAGATACCTGGTATATACATTGAGTAATATGTTAAGAAAGCATGAATAGAACTTCCAAGAAATATGGGATAACATGAAAAGACCAAATTTAAGATTCATTTGGATAGATGAAGGCTCAGAGATAGAAACCAAAGGAATGCCCAAACTTTTCAATGAAATAATATCAACAAACTTCCCAAAACCTAAAGAGTAAAACAGAGAATCAAATATATCCCTTGCTTTTTCATGTTTTTACAGCTTTTTCTCTTGGGCTAATGAAGTTGTTGTTAGTAATACAGATTTTCTTCCTCGCTTGTCCCAGTGTCTGTGATGATGCTTCTTCTATAGGTGCTGGGGCTCTAGGAGACAGTGGCTGAGCTACCCCTGGAATAAACCCATGTCTTTGGGTGGGTGATGGCAGGGCTGAGAGATTTGGGATTCAGCTTTGTTTTCTTGAGGGATCTATTTAATCTGTTGTTTAGTGGGACTTGAGATCCCTTTGGTTTTTGGGGGACTGGCTTATTTCACTTAGCACAATATTCTCCAGTTTCATCCATCTCCTGGTAAATGTTATAATTTCACTCTTCTTTATGGCTGAGCAATATTCCATTGTGTATATATATCACATTTTCTTTATCCATTCATCTATGTAAGGGCACCTAGGTTGGTTCCATAGTTTAGCTATTGTGAATTGAGCTGTTGTAAACATTGATGTGGCTACATCACTGTAGTATGCTGATTTTAAGTTCTTTGGATATAAACCAAGGAGTGGTATAACTGGGTCAAATGGTGGTTCCATTCCAAGTTTTATGAGGAATATCCATACTGCTTTCCATAGTGGTTGTAACAATTTGCAGTCCCACTAGCAATGTACCTTTTTTCTCCTACATTCTTGCCAACATTTATTGTTACTTGTATTCTTGATAATTGCCATTCTGACTGGATAGTTCCTTTTGACACTTAGTTTTTCAGGTCCTACCATGGTGATGGACAAAGGCAATAAAACTGAGATGAAGAAGCTAGGTTTTCATAATCGTAGACCAGATGCTTAACTCTGAATATTGATCCTATGAGGCAGAAACTTTGAAGTCAGAGAATTTGGTGCTAAAAAAGATCTGGGGAGTGATCCATAAATAAGGAAATGGGCCCAAAGAGGTTAAAGGACTTAGCCACAGAAGCTATTTAAAATGAGTATGCAGTGTGAGAGTTCTGATGATGACCTCTGGTTTTTCAGCTTAGTGAGCTCTGGAGATAGGCTACTTTGATTCAATTCTTGTTTTTACCAGTTTTTGGCAGTATGATCTTCAGCTCCTTGTGGATTCCTCTCCCCCTAAATTTTCTTACTTGAAAAATGGAAATAATAATAATATAGATTTTGTGTGGATTAAATATGTACATGGCACTTAGTCCTGGGCATATAAGATCATTCAGTAAATGTTTGTTATTATTACTATTCTTCCAAAGAACTTTAGGAATCTCAACTCTTAACCAAGGCAGAATAAATGTTTTGACCAGGCTGGTGTTTAAAAGTAGTTTCTCTCACTAAAAAATATGATGTTTTATTTCTTCTTAGTTTCTGATTTGGAAGTGTTCCTTATGACTGATCTGCAAATTAACAACCATAGTCTTCTCTGGAATCACTATGTGACTTTTAGATGCAAGGAAGGGGTTAAAATTATTCTTCATTATCTATAGTTTTCTGTTCACAGTCAGCAAATACTTAACGAGCAATCTGCTGTGTGCCTGGTACAGAGATAGGGGCCTGCATGCATGGGGGAATCTTTGATGTGTCCCCTTATCTTCATGGTGTACTCAGGATGGTGGGGCAATTAGAAGTTAGATAAATAATGTCCCCATAGTGGGGAGGGATCATTTGCAATGGAGAAGAGAGAAATATTTTACAGCACATGGAAGGAGCCCTGAACTTGATTTAAGGGATTAAGGAAGGATATTCTGGAAAGAAGTCAATCTAGGCTGATATCTAGGCTGATGTGTCAAGTTATATTCTTAACCAGTCTGGATGGAAGCCCAGAGAAAAGTATCCCAGGCATAGGGGACAGCATGTTAATTGCAATGTGGGTGCTCAGGCTTGGGACAAAACTGGGTTTTCACTATTATTATTACCACCACCACTACTACTACTACTACTACTACTACTACATATTGAACTTAGGGGCACTCGGCCACTGAGCCACATCCTCAGCCCTATTTTGTATTTTATTTAGAGACAGGATCTCAGTGAGTTGCTTAGCACCTCGCTTTTGCTGAGGCTGGCTTTAACTCATGATCATCCTATCTCAGCCTCCCCTGCCATTGGGATTACAGGCATGTGCCACAGCACCCGGCTCACCCATTTATTTAATATTTAACAAGTGTTTACTAAGCACTTACTCTGCAGCAGGTATTGTTTTATATAATGGGGAGACATCAGTTAACAAAACAGATAATAGCTTTTATTTTCAAGGAAGTACTGTTATGAGGAGAACTAGTTGAGGGAGGATGACTAGGAAGCCTCTAGGATGGAGTGACAGTCAAGCTAAGACTGGAATGTGAAGGAGCCATCTGGGGGAGGCAGAGGGAACATCAAAGTTAAGGTAAAGGACATCTGCAAGAGGCAAGAGTGCCAGTGTAGGTGAAGTGTACAAATAATTCAAAGGGCATTTCATTAGCATGGCCAGGATCAAAAGGAAAAAATGACAAGAAAAAGAAATCCGAATACACTGTTGGTGGGGATATAGATTGGTGCAGCCACTGGGGAAAACAGTGGGCAGATTCTTAAAGAAGTTAAAACCAGAACTACCATATGACCTAACAGTCCCTCTTCTGAGAGCTTCCCAGAAGAGACAAAATTACCATCTTGTAAGGATATCTGCATTGCCATGTTCATTGAACATTACCCATGGTAGCCAAGATATGGAAACGGCCTGGGTCTATAGGTGGGTGGAATGAATAAATTAAATATATATACACAAATACATATGGCATGTATGTATATATATGTATACACCTGTACACACACACACACACACACACATATGTATATACCTGTACACACACACACACACACATACACACAGAATATTATTCAGCCTTAAAAACAAGATCCTGCCATTTGTTACAACATGAATGGATGCAGAAGACATCATGCTAAGCCAATAAGCCAGGAACAGAAAGAAAAGTATCGAAAAATCTTATATATATGTAAAAGCATTTTGAAAGCATTTTTTCATTAGCTAACATAGCTGCTTTTCTGAGAGTTGTGACAACCACCTAACCCCTATCTTCCTGGAATTAGGTAAAACTTGTCTCTGGTCACAATTGGTAGTTGTGAACTTTTTTGAAGATAGTGATAGAAAAGGTAAATTTTTCTCTACTGGAGAAAGGAAAAATTCCACCACACTGAATAAATTACCTGTAAATTTTTAAAAATCAGCAAGATTTTCATAGGCATAGCTGCAGACTAAATTTTAGGTCATCAAATGCCATGGCAACATTAATGTAGTTTTTATTGCTTGACTTTTTTTCTTTTTTGTTTTTACATCAGTGGATTTATTTCAATGATAAGAAATGAATAGATTTATTTTAATGATAAGAAATGAAAATATGAAACATGTATTCCAGAGAGGGTTTGTTTTTTTTCTTTGCTTGTTGTCTATATATTTAGTCATTTTATTATACCATAAACATGTTTTCTAAGATCAAGTTTAATTGTACACAAACATTTCCACACTAAAAAAAGTGCTTTCAAAAGTGTTGAGCAGTGGGATTATAGATCCAATTCCAAGTAAAATCTGAACCACGAGTGAGCCATATACTAGGTAGATTGTCTCATGTTTCATCTTAAGTGAGATCATTCTAGACTCAGTATATATGAAACCTTTTTTATTATATATGAAACCTTTTTTTTTAAAAAAAAAAAAAAGTCAAATTCAAAGAAACTGAGAATTAAACAATGGTTCCCAAGGATAGGGCGGGGCAGGGATGGGGAGATGTAGATCAAAGGATTCAAAGTAGCAGATGTGTAAGAATACACAGTCTGTAGATCTGATGTACACCACAAATACTCTAGTTAACAAAGCTGTATTAGAGATTTTTGTTAAATAAGTAGATTTTTAACTCCTCTGTCACACACAAAAAGTGTCTATGTGAGATGATATGTTAATTCACTTCAATATCACACCATTTTACTCTCTATATGTATTCTGCATCATGTGAATCTCAAATATATCCATTGAAATTTATTTCTTAAAAATTCAAAGAATTGTAATGTATCCTACTGTCATATATAACAAATTAAAATTAAAAAGAATCTGAAAGGGTATTTGGGTTGGGTTGTTGATGCTGAGAAAGATTTAGAACATGGATAGTATAAATGAGTTAAAATAGACACAATGATTCTCTTTTCAAAACTTAGAAGCTATTGGAAAATTTTAGTTGCAAGTATCTCTTCTCTGAAGTGGAACTTGGCTCTGTGTGTTTTAATAACTGGGATAATATGAAGAATGTATTTCCCACAACACTGCACATCAGGCAGATGCACTTGTACAGGTCCTCTTCCTAGCTGTGGATACCTGTAAGCAACAAAACCAATCAGCAGGGCTGCCCGGCTCAACCCCATGGCTCGTGATGTTGCCTACAGGTATTCCAGTGGCTTCTCCTGGGTTCTAGCCATCTCTGTTTCATCCCTTCGGATTCAATTTTCTGTTTCAGAAGTGCTTCCGATCCTTCCTATGCAGTTTGAATCTGCTTGATCCACATTAGCTGTCTACACTCTTCTCCAGGTTCCCAGACTGTTTCTCTCTCTGTTGGATCACAGAGGCCACACAGACTCATGTCTCTTGTTTGCTCCCAGTTGACAGTATTGGGGATGATGAAGAGCCATCCACATCTTCTGACAGTGATGAGGACGTGATCAAACAATTTGAGATTTCTGTGTCCCGGTCCCAGAGTTTCCGTTCAAGAGCTTCTGAGAAAGGAGAACCTAAGGAATTGGAACAGAAACCCAAGTGTGGCCGTTTGCTCCCTACCCATGAAGAAGATGGCGCCCGAGTGTCTGCCTGCAAAGGTATCCTTTGCATCTTGTTTTTCCTTTATTTAGACCAGCAATGGCCAATGATAATATTTTTGAGTCATTTAAATATTATATTCTGTGTCTAAGAATCCAGAGAGGAAAAGAAAATGAAAAGGAAGCCAAAAGAACAAGGTGATATTTCTTAGTGCTTCCCTGAGCAAAGGTGAGGCATCTTTCTGATATTCTTATGCCCAGAGCCCCACCGGGACAGGAAGTGTATTTAGTAAATATCTAGAGAGACCTTCACAGCATGCACCTTCTTGGTCTGGTCTCAGTGATTCGAGTTCTTTTCTTTCTTTCTTTTTGGGCGTGTGGTCAGTGAAACCAATGGGCACGTCATAGTACACCTTCCTCATTTTCGTACTAGACGGAGAAAATGGAGATCATAGAAATTGAGAGAAGATGAAAGAGAAGAAATTTTGATTTGGCAGTGAAGACAGGACAGGCAACGAACAAGGTGGGGGAGGGAAAGCTAGAAGTAACAAATAGAACCATGTTATTTTTCAGCAGGAAAAACTTGCTGCCTATCATGTAGTTTCACTTACTGACAAATACCGACTGACATTTCATCGCTATTCTTTTTAGTTCAAGGTAAGCTAATAAATATAGGCCTGATATGGCCAAACCACAATATGAATGGCTGCTGACCTCTGTCATTTCCTCACCATCCCTCCCCCCGCCACACCTTATTTTTTCTCTTTCTCTTCTGTTACATCAGAGCATTCCTTTTTCTCTGTGGAGAGGGCAAATGTTAGCTAATGAAAGTTAATAGCTGTTGGTTCCCTGGGAGTCGCTTGTTTAATTCTAAAGCTAATGGCTCCATTTCCCAGAAGCCCAAGTGTCTGGGTTCTGATTTACACACATGGCCAATGTTCTGAGAGTTGTGACAACCACCTAACCCCTATCTTCCTGGAATTAGCAAAAACCTGTCTCTGGTCTCAATTGGTAGTTGTGAACATTTTTTGAAGATAGTGATAGAAAAAGTAAATTTTTATCTACTGGAGAAAGGAAAAATTCCACCACACTGAATAAATTACCTGTAAATTTTGAGGAAAATCAGCAGGATTTTCATAGGCATAGCTGCAGACCAAAGTTTAGGTCATCAAATGCCATGGAAACATTAATGTAGTTTTTATTGCTTGACTTTTTTTCTTGTTCGTTTGTATATCAGTGGATTTATTTCAATGATAAGAAATGAAAATACAAAACATGCGTTCCAGAGAGAATTTGCTTTTTTTCTTTGCTTGTTGTCTATATATTTAGCCATTTTATTCTACCATAAACATGTTTTCTAAGATCAGGTTTAATTGTACACAAACATTTCCACACTAAAAAAATGCTTTCAAAAGTGTTGGGCAGTGAGATTATAGGTTCAGTTCCAAGTAAAATCTGAACCACGAGTGAGCCATATACTAGGTAGATTGTCTCATGTTTCATCTTAAGTGAGATCATTCTAGACTCAGTAGTGAGGTTATTAGCACCACACTCCAGGCAAGTTCTCTCTTTTTCTCTGCATCTGATTTAGTGTTTTTGCACATGGCTTGTCAGTACATTCCTGATTATGCCAAGATGGGTTTGGTCTAAGTGGTTTGATTCACAGGCCGAGTGTGAGGACTTTAGGCATGAAAGGTGGGCTGTAGGATAATAGTCCAATTACTGTTTTTTTTTTTTTTTTAATTCTGAGAATGTTTCATAAAAAGCTAGATAATATCTTTCTGGTTTCATCAAACTCAGCACATTTATTCCTGGAATCTCATTTTTGATTGGGATGATGTTATCAATCATGGTCCAACCAGAGAAATAAAACCAGTGGGAATACATACACCCTATATGCATACACGTGTGTCTGTGTGGGTGGGTGTGTATATTTCAAGAGAATTATTACCAAGACTTGTCTTATGTGATTATGGGGGCTAGCTAGGTGACAGAAATACATAGCTCCAAAATGCAAAGGGCAAGCTGTCAAGAAGGGAGGCTCAGACTCTCAGGTGAGATGAAGCTGCAGTTCTTAGAATTTCTGCTTCAGGGATGTTGCAGATATCCTACTGTTTTTCAACTGACCAGTTATAAATGATGTTGTAGTTATCTTACTGTTTTTCAACGGACTGATCTCCTGATTTAATTACACCTACAAAATTCCTTCCCATCAATACTTGGACTGGTGTTTGATTGAACCATTGGCCCCTATTGCCTTGCTAAGATGGCACATAGACCTGACCACCACAGATGGTAAGCAGAGTCTTCACACATGGATGATGATGGGCATACCAGAGAAAGCAATTGCAAAATAGGGTTTTATTCCATCAAAATGGGTTATAAACTAGACAAGTTGAAAAATATTCTGGTCAAACAAATAGAATTGGTGTGACATAATTATGTCCTAAAATTTCTAGGAAACCAGGATACATTTCTCTGACAACAATGTAATTACTTTTTAATTTCAAGGAAGGGAAGTCTGCTTTATGGAAAGATGAATCACATCTCCCTTTCCACCTCCTTGCAACTTGACATGAGCCCAGATTTGGTTTTCTAATTCATTTCTTGCTTGTCTGCCATAGAAAATGGTTTGTGACATTAATATAATTCTCCTGTGTTTTTTTTTTCAATTATGAATAATGTTTCAAGGCTTTAATGTAGCTGCTGAAAATTCTCTCATTAGCGATCTAGGTATTATCACTATAGGAGTTAGAGTCATGAGACAATTTTATGGGAGTAATTTCTTGGCAAAGTTAGATTTTGTGCTGATATCCTGCTGGGCGCTACACATATTGATAGATGACCCACTGTTTAATATGACATTTTACTGTTCATGTATGTGAGGAATGGGTGTGCTAATTAGAGACTTAGAAGAAAATTCTGAGCTTTATGTTGTAGGTTTTTTTTTTTTGCATGTGGAATTTCCCTTGCTATGTCATTATTTGTGACCTTTTAAAAGTATGTTTGCCAAATAGCTGAAAGTGTGAATGTAGCATTTTTGCAGTGCCCTATGGAAATGTTTCCAAGGGCCTGAACTGAACAATTAAGAATAACTAGGCAGATAAGGAAAATTCTCAATGGCCTGCTATGGTTTTGCAAAAACCCAAATCAGTAGTCTGAGGTTGTACCCTAAGGCCCACCACTGTCTGAGGATAATTTTATGTGGTCTGCATAGGGCAACATTATATCCTGTAAGTTTGGTTTCTTAGTATATATGAGTCATATACCTTTCTGTCACTGACTTTCCATGTTGCTACACATCTGGCTGCTTCAAATATTTGTTTCCTGCCTAGACTTCAGAGTTATTCAAAGGCTTAATGAGAACCTAATAAGGACCATGCAGTAAAGTGTATGGCTTTGTACCTTTAAGGAGCTTCTATTCCACCTGAGGTTGTAAGGCTAACACGGGAAACAAGTGCTGTTATGCAGTGTGGGTGTAAGATTTGAGTCTGTGAGTCTACTCTGATGTCCCACTCACTGTCCTGTCTGTATCTCTAATATGTTCTCATCCTGGGAACAGGACTACTGGAAGGGACTAGAGACCAAAGAGATAAGACATCTTAGCTACTTGTGTGTACATGTGTGTAAACCAGGGTAAAATCTGTCACTTAGGCAGATTGTCAGTTTTTCTTTACCATCTGAGGGCATCTTAGATGTTGAGGGTGAGGAATGGGATGAATAAGGCTTGGAGAAGGTGCAGGGAGAGTGTAGGAGAGAAGGAGAGAGGGGAGAGGGAAAGTGAGACACTAAGGTCAGAACAACACTGAGTCTGACGCAGTCAGGATAGTTCAGGAGTTGGTTGGGACCTTGTATGGACAAGCAGGAAAGGACAGGAAGGAGGGTTTGAGGATCCCAGTTGAAACTGAGTTAGATGAAGCCCATTGGGGACAGTCAGATAAGAAAGGGCCTGTTGGCTGTCAGACAGATAGTTTCATGTGTCTACAGTGACCCTCTGATGGGTTTTATCTTTTTTTTTTTTTTAAACATAAGGAAATAAAAGTTCCGAGAGTTTGAATGTTGTTCGAGTTCTTAAGGCAGAGACAGAACTTAGATCCAGATTGTCAGAATCCAAGGCCAGTGTTCTTTCTACGGGTCATACAAAGAACTTTCTCCTGAGAAAACTACAGAAACCTCTAGTGAATATGGGAGAGAGAAAGAACAATGGTAGAGTCATGATCTCCATGATCTTGACCCCATGATCTAACATGATCTCCACATTAGATTACTATTTTTGCTTTCTGGAGCCATTCTTGAAGTTTTTTAGTCCCAACAAAATGCTTGTGTTAAATTTATCCTTTTAATATAAATATCATTGTGTGTGCATGTGTGTATGTGAGTGTGTGTGTGTGAGTGTTACTAGGGATTGAACACAGGGGCACTTTACCACTGAGCTATACCCCCAGCCATTTTTATTTTTATTATGAGACAGGGCCTCATTAGGTTGCCTAGACTGGCCTTGAATGTGATCCTTCTGCTCAGCCCCTGTAGTAGTAGTTGGGATTACAGGTGGGTGCAACTGCAACTGGCTAAATACCCATTCTTGATACTCATATTATTGGGAAGTATCAAACCTACTTGAACCTCATGGAAAGACCTAATGGTCTTTTTTATTATATGGATCAGATTTATCCACTGCATAGGTAGAATTTTTTCTGCAGATGTTACTGGTGTGCATATTGTTTTTGTGGTCTTGATTATTGTGGTTGCAATGGCTTAATTTCTCTAGGTATGAAAAACAATGCATTTGAAATACTTTTCTCTCTGAAAATTTAGATTTGGATAGAACCAGCCAACTGAGTTATTCTGAGATCCTGTCTTACAAAGATCATGCCATCTCTGTTACCTCACGGTCCCCAAGTGAGCGAGGAGACAACAGACATCATGGCACCTCTCACCAAGAGACCAGTGGGGTTCGAAGCCTCAGTCGTCAGTCCACTGAGGGCAGCTTGGAGATGGAAACAGATTTTAATAACCGGGGATTTGAAGATTCCTATGCTACTGACAGCTCCTCAGTATGGAGTCCAGAGGTGAGTTATTTGTTTTCCATTCTTTGCTTTATCTATCAGTGTATATTTTTTGGGTTCCTCTCCCCATCTCTTTCTTCTTCCATTTTCTTCTCCTTACTCTCCTTTCACCAAGTTTTTTCCAGAAAGAAAACTTTGCCTTGAAAAACAAAGACCTAAAATACCCATTTTTTTAAAAATAAATTTTTCTTTAGATAACCAAAGTCCCTGAACACAAGAATAAAAGAATCACAAGTAAATTTGTTTCAAATGCAAAGAAAAGAATGCAAGATAAAAAAGGAAGAAGAATAGTGATAAAATGACCCCTTACAGGACTTATTTTTATACAAAGAAAACTTTTAGTTCTTTGGAGAGGTTGGTTTATTTCCTTCCTGGTTGCATATCCAAAATCTTTAGTTGTGATCATTTGAAATGGAAATTGAGAATTTCACTAAAATGAAGTAGGCCTCCAAATAAAATTATGCATGATATTACGATGAGGGTCTTGCTGCATGTGTTAGTATATTTGTTAGCTTTTAATTGAATTGGAGGTCTAGGAGATGACAGTCGTCTATAATGACCCTCTAGCCTTTGAATAAATCTCTGATGAAAGATGCTTCTTCTGAATTTCTTTTTCAATTAAATCTGGTCCCTAATATGCCTAACCATCTAGAGATATGACCAGAGGGGATGATGGGAATAGCTGCCATTTATTGAAATGCCAGTTAGTACACCCTAGTAAGAAGAATTTTACAAACATTGTTTTATCTTTCATACATTACCAGTCATTCTTCATTAGCTAGATCCCCTCCAATCCTAATTCCATGACACTGGAAGGTATTAAATAGTAGTTTTTAGTACCTAATATGGAATTGATTTTGATGAAATAGGTCATATAAGTATATAAAACATGAAGCTGTGAAGATAGAGGAAGAGAAGGGTGAATGGATTTTATTAGTTTCAGTCTGAGAATCCTGAGATTCAGGATGAATCTCTTATTAGTACAGAAACACACACACACACACACATACATATACTCACTCTGAATGCTCAAGGAAACACAAAAGAAAATCATGTTCCAAAATCGTACTGCAGATATGCTGGGGAGTGTAGGGAGCACGTAAGGAGGGGTGTGCGAGGGTGTGTGTGCACATGCCTCTGTACCTCTGTGTTGGCGTTTCTGCCAAGGACCAGGAGTGGTATCTCAGATGTATGGTTTGTACAGCTTATTAAAAGCTTGCTATAGAGGTATTCAAGGCATTGACCTCATCAGCTTTGTTAAAAAGAAGAAAGAAAGAGTCAGATCAAATCCCACATAGTAACATTTAAAGATATTCATTTTGGCTCCCTCACCACAAAAACAAAACAGAGCTCTTCACCTGCCTGTTTGTACTCTGCTTGGTAACTGTGTCATCAGGCTGGTAATCGCTTCTCCATGGAACCTCTTGCTGACCTGCCCTGGGGAGCCTGAAGAGAAGATGTGTTGAGGGTACTAAATGTTCTCAGACTCCCCAAATACCCAGACATCTCTGTGTGCTCCATTCAACCTCCTATCTATTTCAAGACAAAAGCTGTAATTTGGTGCTCCTACAGTAGAACTTCAAATCCAGCTCAGAGGCAGTTCCCGTAACTGTCTGCTCTGCAGGCTTAGCTCGCCTCTTAAGAATTGATTTATTTGCCTCTTAGCTGCGTTAAGAACCCCATCTTTCCCCCATGTATCTGGCATCGGGAACGTGTTGTGGGTCTGTTTACTTTGGCCACACAGATGACATCAACACTATCTTACTAAAACAGAAAGCCTTTTCAGTTTGACAGAAAATCTTTAAACCTACATGGGTTTTGACAGGTTGACGCAAGTATTCCCATCTTAAAGAAAAAACCCAGGATATTAGATCTCAAGGAATCATGAATTTTGTCTCTGAAGGAAACCAGTCCTGCCGTGTGATACCTGCCAGGCTGATGGATTTTCAAGCGCTGCTCTTCTCTGTTGACAAAGGCCATTGACTTTTTTCTACAGACTGAGGACTTGGCAGGGAAGACAATGAGAGGTGGTTGGCGATTTCCAGCACACAGGGAGGCAGGTGTCCCACTTTTCATCTCTGCTTTCCACTGATTAATTGGTTGGCCTTGAGAAGTTAATTAAAATCTGCCAAATGGGGATAAGAATGAAGAGATTTTACCTTGCAGGAAGGTCAAATGGATTAGCGGAATTAACAGTACCCACAGGAGGAGCTCCTTCAGTTGCCTGGTGACAGGCAGTGTGTGTTGAAATAATTAATTGCTTTGCAAATACCAACCTTTGCAAATCTCCATCTCACATCAACCCAAGAAGGGGCCACGAAGCCCAGTTTTCATGGGCCACAGCCTCAACAGACCCCTGCAGAATTTGGCCATTTGGCTTCACGCAGACTTCTTAGGATGGTTATGGAAGAGCTTTACCCAGGACGCCTGTGGAACATAAAGGTGGAGTGAGCATTTACCCGAAGAGATAGCCTGAAAGAGAAATGGAAAGATCTTCATTAACTAGGAATTTTTTACCTTAGCGTTCAAGTTGATGATAAATCTAGGAAAAACATGTTAATTAATATTAAGAACAGGCCTAAAGGGTGTGAAATTGACAGTAATATTTTCCAGCTCCCACCTTCTTCCCTCTTCATCTCGCACATCCACTATACATACAGATAATTATGGCAAAAGGTTTTGGGAAGCTAAAGGAAGGCCACATGGTTTAGCAGAAGTTTAAGATTTTGAGTATTGCATACTGGTTAAGGCAAGGCCATAGGCTCAGACTGGCAGAGAATGAGCCCTGGGTGATTCTGGCTGGGCACTAGACTTTGGCATGGGGGTGGGAGGTGTTAGTTATTTAACCTTTCTTAACTATGATTTATTCCTCCAAGACATGAAGCTATTTAGATACCTACTTCATTAAGTTGATGTGAATGTTTAAAAAGATAAAGTTTCTTAGGTTCTGCAATAAAGCAGAGCTTAAGACAAAGACTTTGGTAGGGCCTGCACTCCCAAGGAACCAGACTGAAAGATGAGGGGGTAAGGCAGGGAAGATTCAGTATGACATCTTCCCCTGAGTTAGCTGCTGCTCACAGTAATTAATTGCTTTATCTTGTTGGGACTGCACTCTCAGAAGCTATATTAGCTGAACTGAGGATGTCTGACCCAGGGGGAAACTTTGTTGCATGGGACATTAACCCCAGCATACTTTGGACTTTCCATGTGTGGTGTGAAGCAGGGTTATGCAGCTTTCTAAGCCTTGGAATCAGCAGGCCAATAATGAAATCTGAGAACTATGTTTTAGGAGCAGGAGATAAGAACTTCAGGGGTTGTGCCAGGCTGAAGCCACTTAGAGTCCAGAGACACTGTGCCTGCAGGAAAGATGGAATCAGAGGAGAGGCCAAGAAGATTTGAAGGGTTTAAGTGCTGGCTTTTTATGGTCTCTAAAGGATTGGATATGGTACCCAGCATAAGGAATGGCTTAGTAGATATTAGCCATTATTACTTGTGTCTATACAAGCAATAGAGGGATGATTGAGAGTAGGCTAAAATAGGTGGGAATTTTAAGAAGAGTCAAGAGAATTTGAGAAAAGACAGCAACTTGATTTTTGAGTTGGCCTAACTCCTTGGAGACTTGCTTCTAATATTATATATACACTAGTCGGTTGTATTCAGAGGTCTCTATAGCAACCATTTTCATCACTTGAAACTAAGTACCTCTGAATAGAAACATTCATACATGATCGCATGCTCAAAGGAAAAGATATAAGAAGCTTCCCTTATTTTACAAGACATCTGAGTTTTCTTGGCAGCCTAATTTTAATCTTAAAAGAGAAAGGCACTTGTGACATGTCTACAATTTGTCAAGTCCTCTATTTTTTACAACATTCCTATACAGTGGGTGTTATCCCCATTTTACTATTGAGGAAAGTGCAGTGTGGAAAGGATTAAATAACTTGCTCAATGTCATAGAGCTAGTAAGTGGTAGAACTGGGATTCCTAGGGATGTTAGATTCCAGAGAACCGTGTACTTTCCCTTGGACTCCTTGGGCAAGTTTCACTGCTGAATGTACATTTTGAGGTGTTTTATTATAATGTCTGAAATGAAGAGCTCTCTCAATTAGTGAAGTCTGGTGTCCAGTATAAATAAGAACTAACTTAATAATAAGAAGCAGTCCAAAGTTTAGTTCCAGATTAAAGCTAGACCTTCAAAGAAAAATTAAAATTATATTGCTATTCCTTATAATTTGTTGGTGGGGTGATTCATTATAGTAAATGACATTCAGCTCAGTTTCTCCTGGGTGAGCTCAAACCCATGTGACTACAGAAAATTGCTATCCAAGGGTGTGTTCCATAAAGAGAGGGGCTTTTTTAGAAATAGCACCAGTCCATTGGTGGGAATACATAGTATGGTGTCTGTTTGAAGCAGGTATTTTCATATGTATTAAAACATCATAACCACGCTCTATCAAGTAGGCATATTAATGTGTGGTTTTGGGTACAATATGCAGAAGCTGGGCTATTTGGCCAGGGTCAGAAAAGCTCATCAGTGATGGAGTCATTTTTTCAATTCAAGTGCTCTGGCTTCAGGTCCAGTGTTGCTTTTTGCTAAGTGGTTGCTGGGGCTGTCCTCCCTAACTTTTGCTATTCCAATTGTGGTCTGAGGCCAGGATGCCTTGTGAATGTCTTTGAAGTGCAGAATCTCAGGCCTCACCCCACACCTACCAAATCAGAATCCTTGGATTATTCAGGTCTACATTAAACTCTAAGAAACTGAGCCCTAAACCTTTTCTCCTGTATAGATTAAAGATATACTGAAGAATCACCTTACCAGGAATCACATTAGATTTTATGTCTATAGTGGGTTCTGTGCTGCAGAGGATAGGCCTAATCTCAATCAATTCTCCCAAGAACTCAAGAAAAAGTTGCCTTTTGGCAATTGCATGGTTGACTTAATTTTCAACAATAGTGGACAGTTGTGCTTTCTGAGAGTCAGCATATCAGAAAACACTTTGCAAAATATAAAATCTTTATTTATTAATTCCAAAAACATTCATAAAGGCTCACCATATGTCAGGCAGTGTGCCCTCTAAGAATTCACAGTCTAAGGGAAAGAGATCAGTAAATAGACCTTTTTAACATAGAAGGTCATGCACTGACAGTCAAAAAGCTTGGGATTCTGAAGGAGCACCAAGGGCATGAACCTGTCCAAATGCAATTAGGCACATCATCATTTTCATTCCTAATCTTTTGTTCCATCCCCAACAGGAACAGGACAGGACCAGCTTGCAGGTGCCATCTGGGGTCTTGGATCCCATCTCCAAGTGTGGTGACTTAGATGTCATCTTTGAATATCGAGCTGCGACCCAGAAGCTCACAGTGACCATTGTGAGAGCACAGGGCCTCCCAGATAAGGACAGAAGTGGCGTCAACTCCTGGCAAGTTCATGTAGTGCTGCTGCCCAGTAAGAAACAGAGGGGCAGGACGAGCATACAGAGGGGGCCCCACCCTGTCTTCAAGGAGAAGGTCACCTTTGCCAAGCTAGAGTCCAGAGATGTGGCTTCCTGTGCTGTCCGCTTCCGACTGTACGCTGCCCGTAAGATGACCCGAGAGAGAATGATGGGGGAGAAGCTCTTCTATCTTAGCCACCTACAGCCAGAAGGGGAAATGAAAGTGACTCTGGTTCTGGAGCCAAGAAGCAATATAAGTGTGAGTATGTTAAATGGTGCTGCTAATGATGCGGTGTTCGAAGACCTGGGATTGTCAGTCCTTGATTTAGTACATTCAGCTTGTGAATGCAGAGACCTTAATTTAATTTTCCATTTGGCTCTCTTCATCTTTATAAGCCATGATTTGCACTTCATGGTATTATGGGTCTTTCATGCCTGTCTTCCTGATAACCTGATGGATGTATTCCCCGTTCATTTATGGAAATGACAGCAGCAGTGTGGTAAAGGGCATGGAAAAACCTGGAGAGGTGACTGGGCTTTCTGGTTAGTGGATAAGTGGTCCTAACCCTCCAGTCCCCAGTATGTATTATGGTGAATCTAAGAGATGGGACTTTCAAGGCAAGGTCCTAAACAAGGATGTGGGAGCATTGTAGAATACCAGCCCTGAACCCTAGCTACTTCTTAGACCTTCCATTTATCGGACTGGCCTCCTCCCACATACCTCATTCTGCTTTCTGCCTCAGGGTTTTAAGGGAAGACAACATAGCTTGTGTGTCTACATGATGGGCAGCCCGCTTTTGCCCTGGGTTGTATGTCATCTAGTGTGAAGATCACCTTTTACAAAATCATGTAAAAATATCAGGTAGCTATGGGCTGTTGGGCCAGTCAGCCACTCATTCAAAGATGTTTCCTGCCAAGTACTGTAGAGACAAAGCAAGGCACATGCACACACAAACTGAGCAGCTAGTGCTCCAGGGTCCAGTGTGGAGAGTGTTTACAGGCAGACCCCTTGTCAGGAGAGAGTGACAGAGGCTGCTGTTTGTTTAGAAGGGTCAGGGGAGGTTTCTTTGAGGTGGTGATAAAGCAGAGCTCCAGCAATTGAGGGAAAAAGACTGGTGGCGTGCAGAGGTGGAGGATTTCAGGCACATGTAGTCTTGGGGAGGTGGAGAGAAGCTTGCTTTGTTGGAGGAAGAACAAAGGAACCAAAAAGGCTCCTTGATCACAGTGAGAAGAGATCTGTCCATTGGAATTTCACATGGTGTCTCCACATGGTCAAACTTGAAATCCTGATTTTTGCCTCCCTAAATCTATTACACCTGCCATCTTCCATGTCTCAATTAAAAGCAATAGAATCCTTCCAGTTGCTAGGGCTAAAATCTTTTCTGCTTGAAATCCTCTGAGCTGTATTTTCAAATGCAACCAGATGCTGGTCCTCTGCTGGACCCTGCTCCTCTGCTGGATTACTGAAATAGCCTCTAGCTGATGCTCTTCTGATACTGCTTTTGCCCCCTATAGACTATTCCTGTCATGGAGGCCAGAAGGATTCTGTTAAAACAAAACCCAGATCATATGTCACTTCTACTCAAATCCCTCTTTTGTTTGAGCTCTGGTAACATATATCTGAAACCATGGAAATCAGAATCCTCAGGTCAGAAAGGACTCTGGACTATAAAACATAGGTATAATAAGTATGTTCACACCCATGGTTCTCTGTAGCAGGTCCTGGGGCTCTGTGCTAGAGGCACAGATTGCATGGGGGAAAGGAGCCAATGTGAAAGATCTCTGAAGGTGAAAATTCTTTCATTGCTCAGCCATTTATGGGGCATGATTATGTGCTGTATATTAGGCTATGCATTGTGGACTAAGAGATTTAGAAGCCACGGTTTATGCACTAGGAACTGAGAAAGGGATACAGATTTTGGAATTTGATGGGCAAGGCAAGAAGTGCAGTGACAGGTGCCACAGTAGGAGCTTCTGTAGAAGCACAGGGGTGGGGGTGGCCCTCCCCCAAACAAAGCATATATTTTGTTGCTGGATTTTTATCTTCTAGACAGCAGAGCCTGTGAGGCACCTGTCAAATTATATACCTATAATTTACAAATGGTATTCCATGAAAGCTTGGGGCTCTTAGAAATACCCATGTTTTGGGTAAAAAGGATATTTCCCTGCTGATATGCAGAATATTTTATTCCTTTTGTTAGTTTTGCTTATTGGGTTCTTGATAAGAAGTTTTAGGAAATGATTTCAGACAGAAGAGAGTTTTAAGTGAAGTCTAACATGCTTATTTCCAGGGAGGAGGTGTATTAGAGGTGCTGGCCGGCCTGCTGTAGCTGGGCTGATGCCTACACCTGCCCCTCAGTGAGAATCAGCATTCTAATCTACTTTATTGCCCTTCTCCTGATGTCCCTGGTGTATAAATCCGATGATCATAAGAAACACACATGTGAATAAATGCGCCGGGAAGCTTGGGCTCTCTTCTGGGCTCACCTGGCTCTGTGAGGTCACTGAGATGCATAGTCCAAGTGTTGGCTTCTTTATCAAACAGTTGTGAAAGGGCTCATTTTCTATGTAATTGATTTCCTTAGGAGGTAAAATTGAGCATTTGGTATATAACTAACAACCTTGAAAGTAGGACTAGGGGCCAAATATCCTATGTCGTGGTCAATGTCCTGTGGTCAATTCTTGAATAGTTGAGAGACAAAAATGCCTCTTGTATTGCTACATTCATCAAGAGGGTGCAGAGAACAGAAGCAAGTCCCAGGCCTGGAGTGGATGGGTTCCACGGAAACATTCAGGCTCAAATTACACAGGAGGGAATTTTGGTCTATATTAAATGTATTATTAGCTCTCCATGTATCTTAGAAGGTTTGATTTACACTAGTAATAATATCTTTGTCCGTTTTGTCTTTAGAGAGGAAATATTGAATGGAGACAGCTCTTGGAACAAATATGTCAGCTAGTAATGAAGAGGATCTCATCCGTGGCTGCACTCCCTGGGCACATTGTAATTCACACTGAGTGCGCCCTTAGTAATCTTTGGCAGTCATTGAGATCGGGTCACAATTTCACCAAACATAATATCGGCTTTCTCTAAAAGAGAGTAGTGCAGTGTGGGCCAATGGATTCTTTGTTGTTCTTCCCCTCCAGAGTGGAGAGTCGCCGCTCAGCCCATCTGCAGTTTCTCACAGTGATAGTGCTTCATCCACGCAGTCGCTGTCTCATGGAGGGGCGCCAGAGCTGTTGGTGGGGCTGTCCTACAATGCCACAACAGGGCGATTATCTGTGGAAATGATCAAAGGCAGCCATTTCCGAAACCTCGCTGTTAACCGAGCACCTGGTAAGTCGTGTGTCTGATCCCTCCAGCTCTGGTCCTCACGGAAGCAAGTGGAAGGCTACATCTGCTTTCATCTCCATTCTTTAATTTTGGCAGTAAAAATGATCTTGGTATGGCCTCACAAAGCAATACCTCTGGATTTCTGAATGGCTTTCTATTTAATTAGACTGAAGGCTTCTACCATATCTCGATGCAACTTGACACGAAATAGACTGGCCTGCATGTTTATATTGTTGAAGGAGAAGGAATGATAATGATGTCTTTTCAGCAACATCATTGGTATGAGCAATTCAAATCTGCCCACATGTCACAGGCCCTCAACTTTAAAGTGGCAGAGCTCTGATTTTGGAGGGAGGCAAATGTGGCATCGAATTCCAGCTCCACTACTTACCCACTAGCTTTGTTCTGATCTTGTATGATTTACCTCTTTTCTGAACCCCAGTTAATATATCTGGGAAAAAGGCCTAATAATCCCTTCCTCACAGGTTATTTTTGGGTTTAAATTAACTTCTGTAATTTTAGGGTTTAGCACAGTGCCTAATACTTAGTGAGCACATAAGGAATGTTAATGGTTACGATGATGATGGAAAAAGATGTGGAGGAGGCAGATCTGGGGCAATGCAAGACTATTTACCAGGGAAAATGACCATTTCTGAGGTCATTTAGGAATAAGGATGTAAGACATACTCTATGATTGTAGTCCAGGGTTCAGGAAGCCACATCAAATAGCCACTGCTGCTGTCTCAACAGCCTCTCAACCTGGGAAGTTGTAGACTGAACATAGGAATAAGGCTGTTTAAAAAAAAAAATTAGCTCACCATTTTATGATCTTGCTTGTTAGAAAAGAAAAAAGAAAAACAGCATAGACAGTTGGTTTCTGTCTCACTTTTGCCTTCTAAACATCATGCAAAAACATCTCATCAGAGGATCCTAATTGGTATCTAGGATGCTAGCTGCAAGAGAGTCTGAGAATGTTGAATTCTAGCATTTCACACATAGGAAGTTAAGCTAGTAGAGGGTAGAGTGGAGGGCAAGAGGCCTGCTGACCCCAGGCACCAAAGTCTTATTGGAAGAAGAATGAGATCAATAGAAATGTGGTATGCTGAAAGAGTCAGTAGGCTCTGGCCTCATGTGCAGCAGCAAGGTGCTTGCATAGAAAAGGGTCATTTCCTATAACTGAATCTGGGCTCCTTCTCCTTTTGCCCTTCACTGTGTTGCAGACCCCAAGACATTTGTTGTATGCTTGTATCTTTGTTAGGCAAGCTGTATTAAAGCCACATTGGAGCAAGTTAGTAAGGAAAGCCCTAGCACTTTGAGTAACAGAAAAGCCCAGGTGCATAACCCATATTCTGTGCTGATGCTCAGAGCCAGGTGAGACCTATTTAGAATGCATAATAGATGCTGATTATTAATTGCACAGCTAGAGTCTCTGCTAGATACAGTTTTGTTTTCTAATACAGCTCTGAATTTACTAAATGATCTGAATATACTACTTCTCCTTCAGAGATTTGGCCAATCTCTTTTCTTGTTCTCCTGAGATCTGGTAAGGTATAAACAATTTTTTTAAGGAATGTGATGGAGATGCAGGGAATGATGGAGATGTAGATCACACAGACATAACCTATTCAGATCCATGCTGGGAAGCTTTGTTTTATGTGCTTGGTGGTAGTAGCCAATATAGAGGAGAAGAAATCAGTCAGAGGCTGCCAAACAAAGACGTGAATTCAGGCTCTCCTCCTTACTAGCTGTGATTTACTGAACTCTTCTGAATCTTAAATTCAAAATGGGGAACAGGGGTGTCATAATAATGTATGCTTTATAGGTGGAATAGTACACATAAAGTTGTGGTATTAAGGGTGGTACTATTGTGCACTTCTAAATTTTTATATAAAAGAAACATGCCAAAGAGGAAATTCTTGTAACAAACATTTAAAACTGCATAGAAAAAAAAAAGACCAGTCCTAATTTAGAAATTGGTTTAATTACAGAAGTTTAAGTCAGTGTGGCATTTAGTACACGATTTGTCATAGACATAGTGTCGCAATTTATCCTAAAATATAATTGACATACTCTATCTTTGCAACAAAAGTATTAGAAAACAATGCTGTTGTGAGGTTATTAATTAAAACAGAAACCCAGTAGTGAAAACAAAAGGTTTTTTGTCTGTCTAAAATGCTGGTACTTGAGGAAAAGCCAGTTTAATTAGGAGGGGATGAGAAAGTAGAAAGTTCCTTTGTGGAGCTTCTGAAAGGGACCTCTTGGTACTCTCAAGAGCTTTAGATGTTGACAGCTTCGGTTCTTCATTATGTCTCCTTCATTATGGTGCTAGCACTACTGTGACAGTTATCAGATAAGTTTAGGATACATTTTTAGTTCCCATATGGAAGAGAACACAAGTTTTATGAGGTAACTGAGCAGAGTTGGGAGAAAGAGGGGGAGAAGGAAAGTGAGGAGAGCCAGGAGATGAATGGCACTGAGTGGGGCCTAGGGGAGGAAGCATGCCAAGCGCCCTGGTCCCCATGTGGGGGCGGGGCAGGCAGCCCTGCCTGAGTCCCCAGGAGCTGCCTTGGGGGGCAGAGGCATGCCCAGGAAACTAACATGAGCAGAAGACACAAATACTGTGTTTGTGGCTGTCAGCTCAGGTGGTGTTACTTCCCCCATAAAACAGGACATCAGTCCCACTTCCCAGAGTGATTATAGTCATGGAAAGAATGGTGCTTGGGTGAATGGGAGGGAAAATAGGTGGAACTCGACTCTAGAATATTTTTAATGTTTTACATCTTGCTGGAAACAGAGACAAAGGCTCATAATTAAAAGTGAGAATCTTTTGCCTCTGAATATATCATTAAACAAAAGATAGCTTTGAACTTGCCAACTGGACCCAGTCAGATGATTGTTTTGATATTTTAAACTTTTCTTCCTAAGCAAGATAGAGGAGTCAAACAAATAATAGATGAAATTCTTGTACTCGATTAGGGTCTTGGCACAAATAAGCTGTGGAAATAGTACTATATCCTCTGCCAACTTCTGAGGTGAGAACCTTGTGGAAGGTGAGACCCAGTGAGGTTGGCTTCACACTGATAGTAGGAGATTGTGGGAGCAATGAAAGGGATGAGAGTTCCCACCAGCACTAGTCAGACCAATCAGAGTCTCTACTACCCTCAATGAATGGCTGAAACTAAAAAGGCTGATGAGGATGTGGAGAATGCGTTGGTGGTGGAAGTGAAAAATAGAACAACCACTCTGGGAAAAGACCTGAAAATTTCTTATACCAGAAGTTCCACTCTTAGGCATTAACCCATAATTCAAAAAACAAACAAACAAACAAAAACACACAAGAATGTTCATAGCAGCTTTATTCATGATGGCAAAAGTGAAAGAGAGTCCTCATGTCCATCCATAGGAGATTGACTGAGTAAACAAATTAAGATATATTTGTGTGATGGAATACTAATTAGCAATACAAAGAAAGAAAATTAAAGCAAAATGGAAAAATCACAAAAACTTTACTGAATACCTAATGCATGAATCATTTGGTATGAAGTTCTATAACAGGCAGAACTAACCTATAGTAGGAAGAAAAACAGAGGAATGTTCTGGGGTGAAAGGAATGTTGCATAGTTTGGCAAGGGGTCTGAATAGAGGCATGTATCTATCACTACTCATTGAATGGTACTCAGCTTTGTCAATTTTATTGTTTCTAAAATTTACCTTCAAAAAGAACCATAGAGAGATTCTAGATGGCCAGTGAGAGGAAGGGTACATTCATAGTTGCTCTCTGGCTTGGGATTCAAGCAACAGGAGTACTGCTTCTCAGCAAGGTGAGTGAAAGAAGGATTGACTAAAATTCAATATTGGACAATCAGAATATCTTAGAGACTCAGAAATTTGGGCACAGTATACAGAGAAGAAAGAGAATATTGGAAGCCAAGCCAGTTTTGGTAGTGGTAGCAATACTGGTTTTTCAGAAAGGGAGGGATAACAGAGAGAGAAACACAATGGATGAATTTCACGTGGAAAAACCTGAAATCAGAAAAACAATCTAAACTCGGCTGATCCAGAGCCTGAACTATAAAGTGGGTGCTTGAATAGTGCTGTTTCTTAACTGGCTGCAGAGACCTTAAGGGGGAGCTATTTTGAGGCACCTATGCCACAGCTGCAGAGCTGGGAGATCATAGCAATTGCTGTACTCTCCAGGCAGGCCACCTATTGAATAGTCTAGGATTTGGCCAGCAGAACGTGAGTGAAAGTGAAAGAGGCACAGGAATTGTTCCCAGAATGAGTCAAGTCAGAAAACTGATGGGGATCTCAACTACTTTTCCTTTGAGTCTGGCAACTCATGTGATTAGCTGAAGTGGGTCAGGAATCTGGATAGGAGGATGTGAATACTCTCAGGGACAAAGTCTGGGAAGGCTGTGTATTTGGGTAGAAGAGTGTGTGAATAATGGAGCCCCCTACCCCATAAGTAGAAGTTTTAGGAGGCTCCTGATATCTAGAACCCCCCCCCCCCCCGCCCCCAATAGATTGGCAAATGCCAGGCCCAAGGGGTGTGCTTATCTAGTCTTGCCAGAGTAGATACCACCCAACAAAGCCTCTGAGGCCTGATTAGACCAAAGCCCCAGCCAACAGAACTCTTCCTATAGAACTCTGCAGCACCCCCAACCTGAGAGTTGCGTTGATCTGGTCTGTGAAGACAATACTCCGATTGACAATACTTCCCATTCCTTCATACCTCACACTGGTGAGAAGGAAGCTGAGAACTCTTTCAGCCAGCTTCAGTCTTGGGCCACTCCAACTGGCAGCTCAGTGAGCAACACAAAAAGAGGCAAGGGTTTACAATCCCTAGCCCTTGCTTTCTCAGAAGAAATGGAAAGAACAACAGTTGGGCATAGAATGACCATCCATTCTTTTCAACTATTTTGACCACCTCCATGGAGATGATTCCCTCATTTTTCATTAAGCATTGTTTTTAATTTCTGTGTTCTTGTTGTGGTGCTTCGTTC